ATGAAATCCCCAACAAGGACAATGACATCCGATTTGTTAGTGTTTCTCAAGAGCCAATGAAGCTCTCGATATTGTTCACCCTTTACTGAGCTACTGCCACAGTCATTTGAAGCATACGTTGCAGTCACAAACGTGTCTCATCTCACATCGCGATGCCTGTGGATTTCACATTAACTCTAAACCGGTTATTAATCGGAAACCACCCCAGCAGTGTGGCCTCGTCGTTGCCACAACCACCAAGCAAATTCGTTAAGGCTGCTTCTGGGTCATCAGAAAGACGCCAGGGACATGTGGTTTCGTGGTCAGTGGGAGATGTCAGCGTAAGCAAGGGGGTTGAGGTCCTGCAGTCAGGCTTCTGAAAAGTAACAGACATCAATATCGAGGGACTCCAGAGTACGCGCTAGACTGGCTTTCTGCTCAATCTGCATAAGTGTATCCGTACGTTGAAGTATATCGGACATAACATGGATTGCAATCGAAGGATGGCCACTGGTTTAACTCCACAGTTCGCGTTGTTGAAGTTGCATAAATGCAAGAAGCGGAAACAGCAACAAAGGAGCATAGTGGGGGAAATGCTCACTGGTTTCTATCATAGGGTGTGATACTACATGGTTACCTAAGCTGAAGTATGGATTTGATTTAGGAAGCACCACACCTTTGGTTAAATAACCAACCCGCAAGGCAGCGGGGCGAATTCGTGGAATCGCACCCATTGGTGGCCGGCGGCTGATCATTCAGTTCATATCCCTTTTGTTTAGTCGCTTACCAAACAGAAGCCACATCCTTTCCAAGACTACAGCAAGTGGGTGCTGGAAAACAGCGCACCACCACGTTGAGGTGAGCGACACTGATTTCAATTAGTGGTGAATCACATCGGTCAAATCACAGTTTTGTCAAATAGACAGACGTCTGCCAGACGAAAACCCACCACTTCATGAAACACTGCTGCCGAACCGTCAGCTGGGACAAGAAAACCCGAGCCACCCAGCTGGCACCACGAGAAGGCTGTCTGGTGAGCCCGCCTATTCGGATGTAATTGCGGTTGCACTTAGCAATGCAGAATATTACCTGCGAACTCACGGATTCCGTTTTTCAATGCATTGGAGGATATTTTCTTGTAGTTTTACTTAGCGGTCTGGACGCGAGTAGCTTAGTATAATAAAATCACCTCGAGTGAGTTGGGTAACTTTTATGTCCACTACTACTCAGGTATTCGGGCTGTTTAACGCACTCTTCGGATCCGAGGGATACTTTAATGCTCCTTTGGCACAGCGCTTGCGGAAGTGTCTGTATCGGTTTCTAAGTATGCATTCTTCTCATCACTGAAGACATCTTAGACAGCTACATTCCAATATCTATGCACCAGCAAACGAAGCTTCTGTTTGACATCATGACCTGTTATGGAAAATGGCTATCCTGTGCAATGAGGAACTAAAGCCATTGCACCTCCGGCTTGTAGTGTATCCATGGTATATCCAAGGAATCTTTGGAAATTGTTTTATATAAAAGTACAATCGGTTGCTGTTCTTGCTGCAACCACGCATCAAGTCAACAGTTCTTTCAGTATAAGCTGCGTCACAACCAACACCCGTACTTGTACAGAGATCCGAATGTTCTGATCTGTCCAGTTTACGCTGCCACTCTTGATTAATTGTGACCGTTCAAGATTTACCAGGCTTAAAAATCCCGTGAAATTCACTTCGGTCACTGATTTTGCTATCCCATACTCCTGTAATTAAGTCTTCGCTTCTGCTGAGCTACACTTGTCGTATGCCGATTTGGTCATCGTCAAAATGTTAACAATCCAGTCGTATTTGACACTGAACTTGTTAAGTTCCTTTTTATTGCTTTACGCCCACTTCCACTACTTGCTGCCAACGTCCTGCTACTAATTTCAGTCAAGATAACTGACTCACACACACTGTTCTCAGTGCTAGAAGCAATTGCAGGTGAACAATTGGGTATTGCGGGCACAACAGCGATACGTAACATGTCCTCTGGGATAGAAACATTTGGTATAGAGAACATGGTGGTAAAGTGCATGTGGCCTTTTGATGGACTCACCATAGTGTTCGCATTTAGACATACATAAAAGTGCCCTGATGTTTACATGTTAAGTACAAAGCAAAGCCGTTTGCATTTTGGAATACACCTTTTGTTTGCGTTTTGAATCATTCTGGCTAACACAAGTTATAAAATGAAATTCGAATTAGGCAATGCTTCGTGAGACCAATTTTTCAGCTATCGTTCGGTTGGGGGCGGAAACAACGTTAGTTAGGAGACTTTCCCGCGGCTGATGCACTCAAAGTGAGAAGAAATTCCGACGGCATTCCAATTGGTTGTACTGTATTTTCAACTTTAGCTGGTGACCTCTCAGGTCGGTATTACAGTTCCGTTTCAGCAGCGGGCAACACCTGTGATTTCGGTTCCTCAGGATCTCGTGAAGCATTACATGCAGTCCTTACTGACATCCATCTGCATTTCAACCTTCAAAATCTAGGTTAATGATTCAATGCTAACCAGCTGCTGACCAGATGATACCAAAGGAACCGTCATCATCATCATCGGTACACATTATCCGAGGGTGAGAAACACACCTCAGGTAATGTGCCGCAATACAAAAGATAAGAGACTAAAAAGTTACACTACAAATGAGATTCCAAGCAAGTAATATGATGTCAACTATTATATGATGCGTTTTGTATGAGATCGGGATTGGAACTCACAACACAAACGCCATTGAGGCTGGGTCTTCGCCATATCGGCAAGTGTCCGACTAAACGTGTTCAGCGTCCTTAGGACCCCAGTTAGGCATTTGGGGTGCACCAACCGACGCCAGTTTCGAAGTGAGGGTTTTCATTTCTCTCGATTTAGTCATCGCTTGGCTGCCCCTCCTTCTCTTCCAACCGCGCCCCAGGCGCGCAAACAATGCACGACGCGGGACTCGGTGTGCTGGCATGCGCAACACGTGGCCCAATCATCGGAGCCTGGTGCGTGCTATAATGGTGCTGTGCTGTTCACTCACTCTTCCTGCACCAAATACTCGACGCCGAACACGCACATTGCTCACACCGTGCTCCCACCCGTCACGAGCTAAGCTGCGAAGGCAGCGATGATCGAATGTGGCGAGCCTCTTTATGTATGTCGACCTGATGGGCCACGTTTCACAACCATATAGGAGAGTTGAACGGACGGCTACATTATAAACAAAGGAACCATGAATAAGACTGTGTCTCGACATGACTGCCACTTGCTGCTTGTGAATCTTGCTGCCAAACAAGTGGACGGAATGGATCAGGGTATGTAATATCGTGCGTGTGTAGCCAAAGCTCGGGACGTTTTTGTCAACCTTAGACACCTTTGGCGTTGTCGTTACATCACTCGCTCTGATGTGCAAAGTTTACAATGCAGCAGTCCGTTCAACCCTTTTATTGTTGCGAAACCTGGCCCGTCAATTTCCTTTCGACCCTCGCCGCTTTCGCAGTTTAGATCATATCTGGTGCGAACACTACGTGCTAAATGAACGTGTTCGGCACCTTGTTTATGGCACAAGAAGAGGAAGCGAACCATTCAGTACCGTTATTCACGCACCACACTCTGATCGCTGGGCCACGTGTTACGCACGCCAGTAGACCGACTCCCGCGACGCGTTGTTTGCGCGACCGTAGTGTGAATGGAAGAAGGGAGGGGTGGCCAAACGATGACTTGATTGGGGCCTCTTGGGCTGAGGTTCCAAGAACGGCCAACACGTTCACTTGGACATGCTTGTTGACATGGCTAGGAGCCGACCTCCTTGGCGTCTGTGTTGTGAGTTTATTTGTCCATCCTCCTCTTACCACGACCTTATTTCCGACGAGTGGCACAATAGCCGGCTACTAGCTCTCTGGAACGATGTCTATCCGCTAACAGTGACTCAGTTGGCATGCCTATATTGCGTCTTTTTTCCACTCTCATTTATTGCGGCACAATAGCTCTCTTTCCCCACCTCTAGCTAAGGTGTATAATGGTGATAATGATGCTGATGTGTGGCTGAATAATGGTTATGGTATATCGTGACTGCTAGTGGTAATCTACGGCATACTGTAGCCATCATTTGCCTCTCCATTACTTGAGGTAGACTAAATCAATACATATAATCATCCATATAGTTACATCTCTGGACTTTGTTTTTACCTCTATCAAAAATCCGCCATTATAGCATAGTCCATTACTTTGAAGGGTATAGTGAACTTACGATAAAGTTCCAAGACCACACATGAAGGTGTAATGATTTTCTTTTCAGCTTCACTTAAGTTCAAATGTGGTCTTGTCAGAAGTTAACGCGTTCACTCCAGCGCCTAATCCCTCTGGGGGAAATTGTATATCCAAAGCTAATAAACACGACCATCTCCAAGGTAATGCACGTTGTTCCGTCTTCGCCACCTGATCCTCATAAATCCATTCGGTGTGCCACACATCATAGCATAAATTGACTTGTTAACAGCTCGCTTCTTTACAGGCCTGTACACTTTTATTCAATATTCCTACTATTTAGGGCGACATTGGAGGTACCGATCATTTGCAGTAATCGGGACTGATCCAGGCATTCCACTATACTATCTAGTGCGAAGCGCATCAGCAGTACGCCGGTAAGCAATAATGACGCTTCACTGCCGCGCAACCACCACCGGTAGCATGTGGTCTATGGATACCGCAAGGGTCGCCCGGCCACTACGCAGGCTCGAACCCGCGCCCTCGGATTACAAGGCAGGCTTGGGATCCTTAAGGCAACGAACTAGTGCGGAGCGGAACTTCATCGAATACCTGCTAACTTGCCCAAACAAAATCAATAGTGCCATCAAACAATGAAGCGAAAATCTAGTGCATTCTTTTCGAAACTTACTCGTTAACCGGCGTAGCACCAAACTATAATGCATTGCGTAGTATGCTCTTCAGAACTCTGCTTTGATGTTGACATATTTGATCAGAATTCATTTTGCATATGTGTTTTTGCCTTACAGGACGCCATCGAGTAGAATAGCCACGGTTCAACTACCGCATGCAGTTTATCAAGCTGACAGCGAATATCGACCAAACCGTCGAGACCCAGGCGTAGGGTAGTTCTGAGAACGAGTACTTTACACATTTAATCGGCCCGTCGTTCGGCGAATTTGGTGTTATTTCGGTACGCAGCTTTACTTTCTTTGTTCATTTTGTATCATTTTGCTTGCCAAATATAGATATCTACGATTGTGCTATGTTTGTTGCAGCCAATTGGATCTCATTCATCATACTCATTTCTCGTCAGCATCATGATCATTCTACGCCTTAAACTGAGTTGAGAAACACCTTCGCTGTTGCGTCACATCACAACTTCATCAGTAGTTCATTAAAAAAACAAATTTTCTTGCCTTGTTTTAATCGCACCTCTCGAATGGGATCATTATTGGTGGAGAATACTAAGCGGGAGGTGAGACGAGACAAAAAGGCTCAAAAATGTAACTCAGTCGATGTTACCGGAGCGCGATGATATCCTATTGTAGAGGGGCCGCTTCCAAGAATGGCTCTGGGGAGCTCTTCGGAGCTAGCTGAGAGCGGATCGCGAAAGACGGCTAGCGACGAGCCTGGGCCCGGAACTACGGAGCGGGAATATGTGGACAGCGCAATAAATTAGACAAATACGCCGCTAGCGCAGCCCACAGGACCGAGGCCGAGCCGATTGACACAGCTCAGAACAAGCAAGTCGAGAGCTCTCGAACGACTCCTGGCCGATCCAAATCGGGTGCAGAGAAGCGGAGATCGAGGCAAAAACAGGAAGGCGGATCTTCCAAGTCAGAGCTCCCGAGGCGAAAGGACTGGCTCGTCTCCAACATACGTACCTGTGTTGCGGGGTGGGACGGAAATCTAGTCGATATTCGATGGCGCGCGCGAGACCCTCATGTGCCCATTTTCGGTGTGCAATAAACGTCTACCCCCCTGTCTTGTCGTTCTCGCTACACTATGACTACAACTGCTGTTTATAGCAGCATCAGTGTTGAGCGATTGCGTGCTGCATTTGGTGATGATGCTCCTTTAAGAGCCACATCGTTTGTGTGGTTCGTGGAATTCAAGCGTGGTAGGCAGTCCCCGGATGATGAGGCACGGTATGTTCGACCTGTGAGGCCACCACCGCTGACCACATTGCTGCTGTGCAACTGATACGGGAGGACACGCGGGTGACTGGGATACAGCTTGGGAAAGTCATCGATATGTCATCTTTACTAATCCGCACCATCCTACATGAGAACCTCGGCCTCAGCAATGTTTGCGCACGGTGGGTACCCCATCTGCTCATTGAGGAGCAGAAAGCAGTTCGGGGGAATTGTGCTCTACCATGCTTGTCAGGCTTGATAGTAGCCGTTCCAATGCTGTTTTTGAGATACTCAGTGATGATGAGACTTGGGTGTACAGTTTCGACCCAGAGTCCTAGCAACAATCAATCTAGTGGACAGCCGTTGGTTGAGTGCCGCCTCAGAAATCCCGGCTTGAGCACAGTGTGGCCAAGCAGATGGTGGCTGTGTTCCTGGCTAAGACTGCTCGTGGTTACTGAACCGCTCGTACGGCAACGCACGTCACCGGAGACTGTTATGCCACCCACTATCTGGCGTAAGTGCTGGAAGCTGTAGCCAGGCGTCGTCCAGGGACTCGATTACGAAGAACTTTGCTGCGCCTTGACAATGCAGCTGCACAAAGGTGCCATGTCATCGTAGCTTTTCTGGCTAGAGAACACATCCAGAGGGTTAATCACCCACCTTACAGTCCAGACTTGGCTCCGTGTGACTATTTGGTGCTCCCAAACAGCAAGCGCATGAGGCGTGGAATCCGCTACGAGCCTCCAGAAGCTGCAGTAGTGGCCTTTATTGAGCTGTTTGAAATGTTATCCGCTTCGGCATGATTCTGCTGTTTCTCCAAATGATTCTTGCACATGGAACTGTGTTTGAACGCAGCTGGAGAGTATTACTGATTACTGGTTGGAACCATCAAGTAATGGTTTCTCTGTGTAGCTGCATCTAATGTCACTCAGGGACAAAACCCATTATGTTGTGGTGCGCTCGATATATTTTCTGTCGACAAAGTGTTTACCCAGGAATTTCTTAAATTCCGCCACCGACTTTGCCTCAACTACGTGCTGCGGCAGGTCATTCCATACATTCTAAAAAATAAAACTTTTTGTGCATCCGAAAACTTGTTCCTCTACCCATATGCAAGCAAATAATGGGAACAAATACATGGTTTATAGGAGAATGACCCAGGTGGAATTTCCTGGATTTCAAAACCTACTAGATGTCTGATAACACACGCTGATTTCCGGAATAACGCGCTCCCTGGCGGTCATCAAGCTAAATCATCCTCATTGGTAGCATCCGAGGTGAGTTATTCTCATTGGCCGGCCAATATGCTTCATGGTGCGTCAGCGTCTAGTTGCTCCGGGCCGCTGGCGAGAGGACCGGCTCTAAAGGTTTCTAATGGCAGGCCCCCTTAACTACTACACATAAAACTATTAGTACAGCGATTTCCGATTGATTTGGCTAGACCTCGTGAGGAAACCGATTTCTCTTCTCAGTGCTTTGCCGATTACAAGCTAAGTCAGTGCTAATCACGTTGCATTTCGTATCTCGGGCTGACGTCATTGATTAGAAAAGACCATGACGCCCCACAGTTTTACCGTCTATTCGTGCAATGGACCGCTGCTTCTACTCTCACTCACAGAGGCACTATCACCCATTGCTTTTGGTTTGGAGCCGCTGTAATGGACCCAGTGGCCAAACTAAACGATCTTAGCTTTTTCCATTGAGGTAGCATATTCAACATCCCGGACAAGGTACCATTGGAAATTGATCGGAAAGTGCTCCTAACTGCATACAGCATGCAATCATATTGGTCTACTTGCATCAGATTACGCAAGGATGTAACATGTTACGCGCGTCCCGTGCTTTTCCAGTTTGGAAATGAACCAACAGCTAAATAGGTCATTCAGAAGCGCAACTTCATTCTGCTTACTACTGCTTTTAAACACCCGTAGTTGTGGAAGACAAAACTCCGCTACAATGTGAGCTTGGGAAGCGACATGTGAAAGCACACCCAACTACTAAACAGCCATCTGATGCCCCGCATATAATCAGTAGTGTTTCACTTAGTAGTCACAATAATTTCGAGATCAATGCTCTGCATGCTGCAGCTAAGTATGACGTGCTGAATATTAAAGCGACATTAAAATCGCAGTGGATCACGTGAACATGCGGACCAGTTAACTGTTATTTCCAGAAGAAAGCCAAATTGCCGTATTTTTGAGACAGTCAACATCAGGAGAAAAACTGGTCACTGAAAGACCTCTACTAGCCAGCAGTTTCGTAACTAAGCGTGATATGCCGGTCAACCCATAAATGATTGCGATCAGCAGAAAAAGAGATGCTGATGGTGTTTTCTCTAGGTTTAGCAGCCATGCAGACGTTTGTAATGCTGCCTTCTGTATGCGAGTTGATAACTGGGTGGTTTGGGGAATACCAACTGCACTTACCGTTGTATGCCAGATTTAAGCAAAGCCACTATCTCAAGACTCCACCTGCCTTCTCTCACCCAAGTTCTGCTCTGTTTAGCGTCTAAGCTCGTCAAAGATTTCACGTGAGACGCTCAAGCAGATTAACGGTAAAAGCTCGGTTGATCTATATTCATCGAAAGTATCATTGGGTGAATCTGTATCATCGTTTTGCTTTTTTAGACTGCCATCTAATGGTCATAGTCATAAAAGGCGTTTCACCACGTTTGCATTATTCGCTCCATGTATTTAGATCTCATCATTATTCGGTCCCATTTATGTATGACATGAAGTGTGCTGCTCGTGGTGCATAATTTGATATTAGTGGGCCTCCATCGCGTATAACGAAAGCTTTTGGCTCTAGTGCACGTAAGCAGTTTACACCCAACGATGGAAATGAGAGCTGCCCATTGACTCCTTTCAGTGACCTACATTATCAACAACCTGTCATTTGCCCTGATGTAGATGACAGTCTTTCATGCTAGCATCCATAAGCAAACTTACAAGATGCTCTCCTTTTAACTCCCTTGCTCCCAAACACGAGCTTACTTTGGCGAACCATTTTCCAGAGGATCATACTCTGTCATAACCCCTCCCTCGTGGCTACCACTCAATCACTTTTCAATGACGGAGACGAGGTACGCCCTGTTGCAGCAATTTTTTAACCCAGGCCTCACAACCATAAAGTCTATAAAGCACCATAAACAATCTCCTTCGTATTACCCAACCATTTCAGTATGTTCAATCAACATTCGTTCTTTTCAATCTAAGATCTGCGTACTACGTTCACCTGTTTTGGTGACTAGCCATGACGTAATACTTCTGACCAGATGTTGAGGCTATGACAAAATGTCTGACAATCAATTAACCATTCTTCGATACGACATGTTTATAAGAAACCTGCGCTGCCGTGGAGGTGGTGTTTGCGTGATTTATCTGACAAAATAGCTCGCAGCAGCCCTGTTAGAAAACTAAGGAATCGCTTCAGCTAACAATCAATCTTAGTCAACAGCAACAACTTGGGGGATATGTATACAGAGCGCCAAACTGCAGCCAAGTGGAACTAGCACTTGAATGCGGCGCATGCTTGCGGTTTGAACATAGAATTACCGGAGGTACTTTCAACCTGTCATCAATTACAGGGTCCGTGGGAACCGCTTCTTTGAGGTTCCACAATATTGTCCATTGTATTCGAATGGATGGCTGGCAATAACAATTTTTCAAACCTAGTAGAGATGGCAGTACTCTGAATCTTCTTTTTTGCTGGACATGCCTACTATTAAGATTGTCGTTCTTAATGAATTTTCTAGGACAGATCATCTTGTAGTCAAATATTGTCTAAGACTACGCATTGCCTATGTAAAATACCATATATATTATGGTTTGTTTCGTTCTATGTGCTGGAACTCGTTCCGAAACCTGGTTCATTCGATGAATTGGGAAAACTTTTTCTTTTCATGTCCTCA